TAAACAAACTTCCTCTTTGATATATATAGATAGCTAGCTTCTTCAAGATCTTTTTTTTTGTCATCTTACGCCTATTAATGAAGATGGTAACATTGGCAGGGAAATAATATAATAGCCAATGCTCGGCGAGAAGTTTTCGTTTATAAAATTTTGTTGTTGTTCTCGACTTGATTTTTATTTTATTACCTCGTCTCCATAGTTACTATTTGTAAATAGTCAATAATATTGTAGGTCCATTTTATTGTTGTTCTTTTTACGCGCAGTTATAACACATTTTCATCTCATCATTTAATTTCTATTGTGCATATATTGTTGTATGTTTATTACAAAAAAATGGCGCAATAATTATTAATTGTCAATTTCGTCATTAAATACTACACCAAATACAAAATAAATAGCACCATTAAATTTCTTGTAAAAAAACTGGTTATTATGAAGTTATTTAAAAATTTGTAAGTTCAACCGTATAGTTTCCTATAGCGAAAAAAGTAAACAAATAAACAAACTTCCTCTTTTATATATATATAGATTTAGACCATGTGAAATGAAACTCTAATTTTCGTCACGTCTCACAGCTGTGGTTCTTATACTGCTAGAAACCTGGTTTCGATACCAGTGGTGTGAAGAGCAGAGATAACCCTTTGTGTAGCTCTATGAATAACAAACGACAACGTCTGTGGTTCAACTCTCATGATGAAATGAGTAATGTGGAGAATTATAGCAATTTATAGTATTATGATAAAATATTTCAATTATATGCAACCCCGATCACTTTTTTAGGCTAATTCCATTCTAATAATACTAATTGGTATTTAAACGATTTCATTTGCTCGAGGGATCAAGTCTCTATTACGGAAGTAAATAAGTGCGTTTCTTCATGTGTCTTTATACAGTTGTTGTTTGTTATAAAGCACAAAGCTACAGAAAGTGCTATCTGTGCTCTGCCTACCACGGGGATCGAAACCCAGTTTCTAGCAGTATAAGACTGCAAACATACCACTTTGCCACTAGGGGCTCTTTATGCAGATTTAAATATCATAATAATCTATTTACTCATTTTAGATATTAACATCATATTTAAACTAGTTACCTGTTTCTTTATCACTTCTTTTCAAAATATGCCCGATTGATTCAGAATCAGCATTTCTCGCGTAAAGAATTTCAATAACAGATCAACACATAGCAACAGCAAATGTATATTATCTAGAACATTTAACAATAGCTGTTCATTTTGCTTTATCATTATAATACTGTTATGATACGAGCATAAGAAATATATTGCTCTTTCCTATCTTTCAATCCCCCTTGTTTATGTGGAAGATATTTTGGGGGATTATTATAAGTAAATATATAAAAGGTTGACTAAACCTTGGAAATGAGCCAAGAATTCTATACGAAGAAAGAAACGCGATCAGGACATAGTGTTACACAAGGTTGCAGCAAGTCGCTGTTGAAAGGTTCCGTGTTTGTATACAAAAGTTGTTTTGAAATGTTTTCTTACAGATGTAGTAGACTTTGAACTGTTTTGATTTAGTAAGTCTGTACTGTTCCTTTAATGATTCAGGCATATCAGAAAAAAATACTGCAAAAAATAATGAAAAATGAGGCAACAGGATTAAAAATACAAATATGGCTTTATATGGACACGCCATTTAATTTTATCCAACTATTATTTCTTTATTTATATATATCGTCAAGTCAAAAAGTTCAGGTATATGAATTTGTTAATTTCAAACACTTTAGGCTGCATTTGAGGAAATTGAACCTTAGTAATTCTGGAATCTTTTGTTGTATGGTGATGGCAATTTACAAAATAAGAAAGTCATTAACTTCAACAAATTACTTCTGTTTGTTTGTTTACGATTGTTAAGAACAAAGATATACAATTGGTTATCTGTGCTGTGCCCACCATGGGTATCAAAACCCGATTTCTGGCGTTATAAGTCTTCAGACGTACCGTTACGGTACTGTAAGGCCAAATTACTTCTAAGCATGTCTTTAATATAAACCTTAAACCTTCTTTGTACTTCTTAAAAAGGGTTCCATCAAGCATCTTGATTATTAATCTCACAATTCTGCATTTTTGTAATTTTTAATCAACGCATTCCATTATTTATAGAAAGAAGCTGTAATTATGCTTCTTTTACAACGATCACTATTTTTGATATGCTACATATGAATCAATTTTCAACATCAATCATTATTTTATTGTTGGTAACACAATAATATGAAATTCTCATTGATTAGGAAATAGGCCTTATAAAATGATGACACCACAGAAAAAAATTACAAGTTCGAATCTGTAACGTAAGTGGTTACTTCAAGCTTAATATATTTCTGTGATTGGATAATCTGTACTTGACGGGATGTTTGCTCTGTTTTGTTTTCACGTGCCTTTAACTAATATATATTCGAAGAAGCGTGAAAAATCTAACAGAAACAAACTGTAAATAACCCCAAACAACAGCGTAGTCGAAGGTCAGGAGTCTTTCTATTCAAACTTAAGTGGTATTTAAAAGGTAAAGGTATGTGAATTTTTTACTAATTAAATATGCTCAACAAGTCCTTAACAAAGCTGTGATAGAAATGTAACATTTAAAACATTTGTTGTGCTTTCAAAGAAAAAGGTTTATACCATCATGTGACTTATAGATCACATAGTTATCTGCTTAAATAATTATTCAGTTTTAATTTTTAGTACGAATGAACCGCTACTCTCTCAAGTTTAAGAACAAACGATGCGAGTCCAGAGTCCAGAAAAAGAGAAGGATAATATAACTTCCTACAAATGAATTTTTATAGTGGAGTTAGTCTTTGTTAGTCTCAGATTCTAGATTTTTCACTGTCCACCTTGGTTTACTGTGACAAGCCCCGTTGTCTGCCAAGATTGGAAATAGATTAAAAGTTAAAAACAAAAGTCTATATTGGAGTGACCGTCTATATTTAATAAAACACAATATTTTAATTATTGTTACTGCACTTATAATTATAATCCCTGTAGACTCCCACTGGAGCATAGGGCCCCAACAACACCTCTCCGACGGAATTTGTTGTTGCAGTAATTTTTTAGCAGGTTGGTTTTTACGGGGAGGAGTTGCTACCCCCGTGTCCATCCTTTCTTATCCTGGACTTGGGACCAGGCAATCCAACGCGCTATCCACTGCGCTATAGGGACACAGTTACTGCCCTTATACTTCTAAATATTAAGTTGTGTTTTCATATATTAGTGACCCTCTGGTGGTTCGGCGGTAAGCTTGAGGACCTATAATGTTAAAGTTAGGGGTTCAATTCCCGCAGTAAATGCAGAGCAAACAGCCCATTCTACAGTTTTTTCTCTTAAAAACAAACATATAATTATTTACTTCTGTAGAAATTTATCCGTATTGTAAGAATTGTTTTGTTTTTTTTTAATTTCGCGCAAAGCT